TTTCTTCTATTTTTTTTTTCTTTAGATATTTCAGGATTTTCTTTTCGCTTTTTTATATTCCTTATTTCAAAATTCTGCTGTATCAGCACTGTCCGTTTTTTTCCTTTACACCTACGCTTATTGTTTTTTCTTCTGTTTTCAATAAACTCCTATTTTCCCCAACTCTTATCTTTCTCAGTTTCAACCCTTTCATCCCTTCTTTCTTTCTAACCCTTCTTCTTCTTCTTCTTCTTCTTCTTCTTCTTCTTCTTCTTCTTCTTCTTCTTCTTCTTCTCCTCCTCCTCCTTCTCCTCCTCCTTCTCCTCCTCCTCCTCCTTCTCCTTCTTCTTCTTCTTCTTCTTCTTCTTCTTCTTCTTCTTCTTCTCTAACAACTTCGATTACTTTTTTCCCTACATCTTACCATTCTAATTTTCAACCCGATTCTTTTTTTTCCTCTTCTTTTCTAACCCCGTCCTTATTTTCTTTTCCCTCTGAAACCGTTTCCTTTTTTTTTCTTTTCACACACTTCTTCACTCTCTTCCTTTTTTCAATATTCTCTTCTTTCTTGTTCGCTCCAACACGATGTCTACTCCTTTTCATTGTTTTCAACGTACATCTTTCTTCCCTTACGCTTTTCAAACCGCTTCTTTCATTTTTTTCTTTTTTCTGTTCAAATTGTTTCTTTCTTTTTTTAATACACTTATTCCTAATCTCTTTCTTTACAACCCACTTATTCTCTCTCTGTCTCTTTACAACCCATTTATTCGCTCTCTCTCTTTCTTTACAGCACATCTCTTTAGTCACCATTTCTTTCTTTACAACCTACTTATCACCCCTCTCTCTCTCTCTCTCTCTCTCTTTACTGCGCACTTATTCCCTCTCTCTATTTCTTTACACATCCACCCATTCTCTTTCTCTCTTTATAACCCACTTCTCTTTTATATTTATAAACAGGTTTCTTTATCAGTTTATCCTCAATCGCCAGCTCCTCCTCTTCCTCGTACTATTCCTCCGCCACCAAATGCTCATCCCTCCTATTTTCTATGTCTCTTTCTACTTCTCCTCTTTTTCCATTCAGACGTTTCCTTTTCCTTTTTCTTTTCTTCGTGGATTCTTTATTCTCATCCTCCTCCTCATTCTTCTGGAGCTTCTTCCTCTCCCTTTCTTTCACACCTTTCCTTTTCTCACTCTACTCTCTTTCTTTCTCTCTCTCTCTCTCTCTTTCCCGTTCAACATTGAGGTCACCTAATACATTCCCCTCCCTGTTAAGTTATTTCTTCGTTTTCATTCAAAGGCAACTTTCTAACGGCACCGCTTAACAATGCACCACGAGAAACAAAGCAGTGAAGGAATCCCTCCGACATTATCAATGAAAGACATTTTATTGTTTAAAAACGAGATGCACACCCAACGCGTGATATCACAGGCAGGATTTTCGTAAACAAATGCATCAAAACCTCCATTCATTTTTGCATATTTAATGACACCAAATACTGGGGGTGGAATGAAACAATAAACAAATGTATTTTAGCGTCGAATGCATTTCACTTTGGTATATGAAGTCGTGTCTTTGAATTCTGTAAATGATTCCTGGTTATAAGTCTAATTGAGGATGAAACAATGTATTTTTAACGAATCATTGCTTCATTTTGTTTAGGTATACAATCTCTATATTATACGTAGAAAATCATGATGAAAGGTATTGTCAGTCGTCAGAAATTAGTGCAAGCGTTAATAACAGAGGAGGCTATTATATGGATAATGTAGGTGCATTGGTAATGTTTTTTTGTTGTGGCCTTGTTAGGGGCCAGTAATAAAGACACAAAGAGAGGAATTGAATAAAATATATTAACAGAAAGAATAATACAAACATATACACACGAGAGTGTTACAACAAGAATGTTCGGTCCGACTGTCAGAGTTGACTGCTGGAAAATTCTCTCTCCAAATGGCAGTACCTGCTCCTATTTATAGCTGGGAGAGTCCATGCGTGAGGGGGTAAATTACCACAACAGTTTTACCCTAAGAATGCATTGAAAATCAAGAAGGAAGTGATTATTAGTGGTCAGGAATGAATGCAAGCAATTCTGATAGAATAGGGTTATTATATTTATACTGTAAATGATTTTAATATATGAATACATCTAAAATAAGGAAAAATGTGTTTATAGGTGGTCAGGAATGAAGGCAAATATTATTAATATGTCTATTATACAGGGCAATTGAAAAGTAAGGAATGAAGGCAAATATTACTACTTGTTCTAGGGCAACTGAAAAGTAAAATTTTAAAATATTTATAATTTATTTATTAACTATAATTTTTACGAGAAATGGATAGGAAAAGAAAGCGTTTAGAATGAGGTTTTATTTAAAATTCGATATGGGCACCAGATTTCGCTACCAGCTTCTCGAGTTGCCTAAGAAGCCTGTCAGCAGATTTCACTAGAAAATTTGTGGTGTGGAAGACATAACTACTTGTATTCGCCGTTCATGTTTTTCAAAATCCTTATTTTGGTATAGCAGATTTGCTCCTTTAACCAATACCATGGCAAAAAGCCGCAGGGTGTTAAATCAGGACTCCTGGCTGCTCAATCATACATAAAATAGAGAGTTACTTTTCGATCACACTGTATATAATATAAACGGTGTAATGAACGGTGTAACGAGCACCAGGTCATGACTGTTGAACTCTCTGCTTTGGCACAGAGGAACCCGGACGAAGCTTTGACGAAGGGCAGGGTTTCGTCCGGGGAGGTAGACAGGGTCTGAACCCGTCTAGGCGGGTTCAAAGGGTATATTTTTGGCCGAGCCTACGGGCTCGGAGAAACCCACGTTAAACTCAGCCTTGTGCCACATGCAACCCTCGTGGGGTGGTGGCTAGATGCTGTATATAATATGAGTTTACTAGAGGAACGCATTTAAAATAAAAAGTAAAGGGATTATCAGTGGCCAAGAATGAATGCAATCATTACAGATAGAATAGGTCTATACTTTTTCAAATGAAAATACATTGCTAATTATTTTATTATAGGAATATATTGAAAATCATGAAGAAATGAATTGTCATGGAGTGAGGAAAATTACTTTGGAAATTCTATCAAAGTCAGTGAAAATAGATTGTCTTTGATCAAGATTTGATATAAGCTTTACTGCCTGATTAGGACGATTAAGGATTAGCGTTATATATTTATTATTGTTTTTAATATGTCATAGGATCGACTTGTAATATCAATTAACATGTGAAAATAACATCGCTTCTGCGGTTTCCTTTTCGAGTTAAAACATAAAATAATGTGTTTTTAATAATAGAAAAACTGTTTCAAATCATTTGGATTTGAATGAAGCAAATTAAATTCGAGTAGGGTAATTACGTTGAAGGACCAACACTTTAAAAAAAAATCTACAAACTTCGGCGCAATATATTAGAAGTCCAGGTCCGATTTTCATGGATAATATAAAATGGCCTCAACTAGACACTGGTGTTTGTTTTGGTGCCGATTTCTGGAGCGTTCTAGATTTCGTGTCAGACTTTATCGAATATTGCTGTTTTGTCAACAAATGGATGCCTTAAAGATGGAGGCTGAAAATTTACCATTTCTCCATTCAATGTTCTATGATTTTTGGAAAGGGGTCATCGTCGGAACTGTGACAAAAAAATTATGCAGAAGGTTTATTTCGATCGTGCTCCGGCTCTTCGGACGGATAAAAAAATGGTTTGGCAGTGTTCCTTTCGGTGATTTTAACCTAATTTACAACCGGTCGAACTTTACGACGTCCATGAAAACGGTCTGCTTACTATTATGAATAATAAACCAAAGAGATTGCTGAGAGCTTAAAACCCGATATCTCAACTATATTTCGCCATTTGAATGGACTTGGATTCAAGAAAAATCGGCGGAATTTGGTAAATCCCAAAGGTGTCATTTGTCATCACGACAACGCATGGCTGCAGTTGCAAAACAGACCATGCAGAGGGTGTTCCAATAACTGACCGATTTTAAATGCCAATTAAGTTTAAGAGACTTAATGATTTTTTCTTTTTCTTTCAGATTTGGCAGACATTTGAACGATATTTATTTTTCACACATAATTGCCATGACTTAAATAACATGATCCAATAGAGAAATTCACTAATAACTCTGATTTCAAACTTTGATCCGTCTTAATGAAACACCCTTAAAATCTTAAAGAGTTGAAATTTGAAACCCACCAGCATTCACTGTATTTTCCTGATATGTTTCTTTTTATTTGTTCCTGTATCTACAGAAGAATTTAAATAGCGAGAAATCTGACTCTGTACAGTCAATTCAAAACTAGTCACAACCTACTTCAAACAAAAAACCCGACATTTCTACTCAAATGGTATCAATAAAACGATGTGTGTAACATAGACGAGAATATGTTAATTGTAAAAATTAGGAAGAAAAATATCCTAACAGCTACATATATTGTTGGAAAAATATGCTTTTTCAGAGATACGATATCTCTGATAGGATCAGAAAAGGAAAAAAGAAAGACGTCCTTTCATTTGCCCGTGAATTAACGAATCAGCGATAAGCACTGGTTTTCCAGTTGAAAAAATTAATTACTCCATCCAAAATTATTCAGTAAGAATTTACACCTTGAAGGAACATATGATATAATTGGGAAGTATGTCTCTTACTTACTTCTTCCTCTGCGTCACTGACAATTTGTGGGCAATAATTCCCTACTAAGGACAATAAAAGGAATTAAGGCAAGAGAACATACGACTGACTTTGCATTTAAATTTTTGAAGATGGCAGTGATCAGTGAAGAAAGGGGGAGGAAGGGGTTTCCACTGTCGGGAAGTGCGAGAAAAGAAACTGTTGGAGTAGAAGTGGCGGTTATATTTAACTATTTCAACAGTAAAAATGTGAGAAATAGATTCCAATCTAGTAGCACGCTTAAATTCAGATAGTAGGGGCATCAGGTGAAAAAAAACTCGTCAGAGCAGCAGCCATGAAAATATTTGTAGAAAAGACAGAGGGAAGCCACATCACGTCTGTGAGAATGTAACAGAAGTCGAGATGCCAATTCAGAACCGATTACAAATCCTTCTTTGGATTATGTCGAGAACCTCGAGATGAACAGCAGGGACACCAGACCCAGTATCACAACAGTATTCAATACAAGGACGAATGGTAGATTTTCAGATGCTTAAGATGGGATCTGACGATAAATAGCTTCTGGCACGGCACAGTGAATCAACTTTCCTTGCAGTAGATGCAGCTATTGATTCAACGTAGTATTTCCACTTCAAGTCAGTTGAAAACGTGAGGCTGGTGTCGGACAGGGACGTTTTTCTACGGTGGTTAAGTGAGAGCAGTGTAGTTTTGGAGGCATTAAAATTTTCAGACCATTTCCTGCACCAGACAACCACTCACTGAGGGTCTTTTCGAGAGCATCAGCCAGGTTAACTTTGTCAGCACCCCTGGGATAGTTATTGAGACAGAAGTGAATGGTAGGATCGTCTGCATAGATGCCTACTTGGGAAATGCTGACATCAAGGAGATCGTTCCGCTATAAATCTTGTCGTGCATAAAATTTTCAATACCTCACAAAACCCCAAACAAGCCTTTATCTCGAACCTTGACATCAGTCATTTTTCCATCGTCGTGACACTGCTTCCGTCAGACTTTTCTATAAATATTTTCATGACAGTTGTTTCCTCCTTGGTACCTCAACCGCAGAAATTTAAGCGCACTACTCGATTGGCAATTCGGTCTCACCGTTATACTTTTGAAATAGCTTGATATAACCTTGTACTATGCTAATAGTTTCTTTCCTCGCACATCTCCTCTGTGGAACGCTTTTCAAGTTTCTTGCTTCCCACACACGTACAATCTTCAAACATTTAAATGCACAACCATCTTCTGTCTTCCTGAAACCTGTTTTTTATACTTCCTTCCTCTCACTAGTCATTTGAACAGATGTAGAGGTTTATCTATTCTTTCCTGTTTAGGATTGAGTTTCCGGTTGTTTCTAAATATTACTTCAACGTTACACGTCTAACGCCTCCGCCTAAAATTTGAAAATTTTTATCATTCTTGGGTTTCTGGTTCCTTCTAAATTCTACTTCAACTCTATACTTCTAACGTCTCCTCCTAAACTCTGAAATTTATGATATTATTGGGTTTCAGGTTCCTTCTGAATTCTACTTCAATTCTATACTTCTAACGTCTCCTCTTAAACTCTGAAATTTATAATATTATTGGGTTTCTGGTTCCTTCTAAATTCTACTTCAATTCTATACTTCTAACGTCTCCTCCTAAACTCTGAAATTTATAATATTATTGGGTTTTCGGTTCCTTCTAAATTCTACTTCAATTCTATACTTCTAACGTCTCCTCCTAAACTCTGAAATTTATAATATTATTGGGTTTCTGGTTCCTTCTAAATTCTACTTCAATTCTATACTTCTAACGTCTCCTCCTAAACTCTGAAATTTATAATATTATTGGGTTTCTGGTTCCTTCTAAATTCTACTTCAATTCTATACTTCTAACGTCTCCTCCTAAACTCTGAAATTTATAATATTATTGGGTTTCTGGTTCCTTCTAAATTCTACTTCAACTCTATACTTCTAACGTCTCCTCCTAAACTCCTTTAAACCCTTCTAAATTTATAATATTATTGGGTTTTTCGGTTCCTTCTAAATTCTACTTCAAATTTATTGGGTCTATACTTCTAACGTCTCCTCCTAAACTCTGAAATTTATGATATTATTGGGTTTTAGGTTCCTTCTAAATTCTACTTCAATTCCTCCTATAAATTTATAATATTATTGGGTTTCTTTCTAACGTCTCCTCTTAAACTCTGAAATTTATAATATTATTGGGTTTCTGGTTCCTTCTAAATTCTACTTCAATTCTATACTTCTAACGTCTCCTCCTAAACTCTGAAATTTATAATATTATTGGGTTTCGGTTCCTTCTAAATTCTACTTCAATTCTATACTTCTAACGTCTCCTCCTAAACTCTGAAATTTATAATATTATTGGGTTTCTGGTTCCTTCTAAATTCTACTTCAATTCTATACTTCTAACGTCTCCTCCTAAACTCTGAAATTTATAATATTATTGGGTTTCTGGTTCCTTCTAAATTCTACTTCAATTCTATACTTCTAACGTCTCCTCCTAAACTCTGAAATTTATAATATTATTGGGTTTCCGGTTCCTTCTAAATTCTACTTCAATTCTATATTTCTAACGTCTCCGCCTAAACTCTGAAATTTATAATATTATTGGATTTCCGGTCCCTTCTAAATTCTACTTCAATTCTATACTTCTAACGTCTCCTCCTAAACTCTGAAATTTATAATATTATTGGGTTTCTGGTTCCTTCTAAATTCTACTTCAATTCTATACTTCAATAACGTCTCCTCCTAAACTCTGAAATTTATAATATTAAAATTCTATTTCTATACTTCTAACGTCTCCTCCTATTATTATTATTGGGTTTCTGGTTCTTCTAAATTCTACTTCAATTCTATACTTCAATTCTAACGTCTCCTCCTAAACTCTGAAATTTATAATATTATTGGGTTTCTGGTTCCTTCTAAATTCTACTTCAATTCTATACTTCTAACGTCTCCTCCTAAACTCTGAAATTTATAATATTATTGGGTTTTCGGTTCCTTCTAAATTCTACTTCAATTCTATACTTCTAACGTCTCCTCCTAAACTCTGAAATTTATAATATTATTGGGTTTCTGGTTCCTTCTAAATTCTACTTCAACTCTATACTTCTACCATCTCCTCCTAAACTCTGAAATTTATAATATTATTGGGTTTCAGGTTCCTTCTAAATTCTACTTCAACTCTATAAATTTATAATATTATTGGTTTTTCTAAATTTACCATCTCCTCCTAAACTCTGAAATTTATAATATTATTGGGTTTCAGGTTCCTTCTTAAATTCTAATTGGTTCCTACTTCTAACGTCTCCTCCTAAACTTTATTCAACTCTATTCAACTTATAACGTCTCCTCTTAAACTCTGAAATTTATAATATTATTTGGTTTCCGGTTCCTTCTATATTCTACTTCAACTCTATACTTCTAACGGTTCCACATAAACTCTGAAATTTATATTATCATTGTGTTTTCTTCATATATTCTTTTCCTTCTCTTTCCCTTCCAATAGATCTTTGCGTCTTAGTGGCGTTACTGCCTTTCGTGTGGTGATTTGATTTATATGAATTATTAGCTTGTATAAGGTTACCTATAAATGAAAACAAAAACAAAAACATTGGTACAAAAATTCATATGAAAATTGTCGTATATAAAATAATTTACGATTTACAAGAATTGTTCAAATCAGTTAGATAACGAATATTTAAGAAAAAATTCTTGATAAGCAGTTATCTAAAAGGTTAATTTTAATGAAGTAACAATTAAGTCAAAGGCTGACATATATTTGGATAATAATCGTTAAAGTAAAAGAAGGAAAGTCGAATTGAAGTTTTATACGAAAAAGAATGCTCTATGCTAATATTTTTTTTGTATTGGTTTTCATCATGTTCACCCCAGCAGAGCTGTAAAGCCACTAAAAAATAAAGGTACTGGATGTGGAAGAATTAGAAAACAGAAACATTACTAAGGTGAAACTACAGAAGAAGAGTAATCAGAAGGACAGTAGATAATCATTGACATTGAATATACATTTTGGAAGATTAAAGTTGGCTAGAAAGCATAGAACCGGAAAGGATTTCTTCAAACAAGACATGCAAGGGAAGAAATGGTTAACATAGAACTTACAGCCACATCTAACCAACGCAACAGTCTGCGACTGCGCTTAAATTCATAAAGTCTAGGTAAACTAGCGAAGAGCAAAATTACCATGAAAATATTTATAAAAAAAAAAAACACAAGGAAGCAACTTTACGGCGATGGGAAAAATCACTGAAACCGAGATGCCAGATCAAGATAGATTATATCAAGGATCTCTAGATATAGTGATTTTCCAAGCGTAGCTCAGATGTGGCACAAGGCCGAAAGTAGGGGGCACCCAGTGAGAATTGAACTCACTAATTAGTGATAATTGTCCTAGCGAAACAAGCTTGGTAACCATTACACCGCCAAGGATCTCTAGATATATATCAGGAACGCCGGACCATATGTGACAGCATTATGCTAAATATAAACGAATGGTAGACATATAAACATTTAAGATATATTTTTGAGAGAAAAATTGTCTAGCACGACAGATTAAACTACCTTTCTTTGCAGACTATATGGATTCTATATAGCCTTTCGACTTCATGTTAGAATACGGAACCTACAACCAATATAAGGTCCCAGCTATATATAAAAAAATAAAATAAAATAAAAATAAAAAAATTCGGTTTTCCATTTTCGAAAGTTATTGATAATGAATGTATTCCCACACTTTTTGTTCTATTTACTCACAGTTTTACATTGGGTGTAGGATCAGTATCCGCTCTAGAAACACACTATCTTTATGAACAAAATGCTAACTATTACTCAGGGATATATTAATAGTTTTTATTTAGACACCATATTGTGTAGCGTGGAATCACCTCTTAATTGCTGTTGTTCCCAGGTACACACTGACCTATAGAAGCTTTTTTTTTTTTCATTTACTTTTTTATGTTTCATTTTTGGTTAACGTTCTTGTTTTTTTTTTTTGTTTTTTTCATCCATCTTATCTCCTTTGTTCTTGTTTCTTTCATTCTTTCTTTCTTATTTTAATTATTCTTCCTTCAAATTTCCTTTCGTTTTTTTTTGTTTATTCTTTCTTTCTTGTTTCATTTATTTTTCATCGTGTGTTTCTGTATTTCTTCATTCATTCATTCTTTCTTTCTTTTTTTCTTCAGGTGTTCTTTTGTTTTCCCTTCTTCTTTCTTTCCGTTTTCCTTCGAACCTTCTTTATTTATTTATTTATTTTTTATTTTTTTCCTCTTTCTCATTTTCTTCATTTTTTGTGGAGGGGGTTCTTCAATCTTTCTTTTTTTATTTCGTTTATTACCGTATTTCCCCCATGCATAAACAAAATTAGGGGTGCGTATTATGCACAGCTACAAAAAAATCTTTAAAATTGCCGCAAAATAAAATAGGAATTATCATAAAACTAAATTAGAATAATATTATTCTATGTTTAAAACCATTTTTTAATAAGATTAGGAAACGCTGGCCGTAATAAAATTGGAGAGGTACAATTTATAGGGTTTGATTAACAAACAAGGGGTGTGTTTTATGCGTGAAGAAGCGTTTTCTCATACTTTCATCACAATTTTAGGAGTGCTTATTATGAATTAAGGCGTATTATACATAGGGAATTACGGTATTTGTTTCTGGCTTCATTCGTCATCTCTGTATTTGTTCATCTTCACTTTTTTTTCTTCATTCTTTCTTTCTACATTTATTTATCCTTTTTTTTTCTTATTTTCTTCATTGTTGCGTTCCCCCTTTTTTCATTTTGCTTATTCTCTCCTGGCTGCATCAATGTTTCCTTTTATTATTTCATTCATTCTTACCTTTTGTATTTCTTCAAACTTTACTTTATTTTCTTCCATCTTTCTTTTCGGCATTCTTTCATTCCCTCTTTCTTATTTTTTTTATTTTTCTTTCTTTCTTTCTGCCATACTTCGTTTTATTCTTTCTTTTTTTTTATTGCAATCTTTCTTTCTGTTTTCGCTCAATATTTCTTTTTCATTCATTCATTCATTATCTTTCTTTATTCTTTACTATCATTCTTTATTTTTTCTTCTTTCATTCCGCTTTCCGACCATCTTTCTTTCTACTGTCCTTCATTCTTTTTTTTCTTTTCTTCATCCTTCTTCCTATCTTAGTTCTTTCTTCATTCCTCCATCCTTTCTTTCCTTCATTCTTTCTTTCTTCATTTTTTCCTCCATCCTTTCTTTCTTTATTCTTTCTTTCTTCTTTTTTCCTTCATCCTTTCTCTCCTTCATTCTTTCTTTCTTCTTCTTTTTTTCCTTTCTTTCCTTCATTCTTTCTTTATTTCTTTTTTCTCTCCTTCTTCCTTTCTTAGTTCCTTCTCCATTCCTTCATCTTTTCTTTCATTCCTTTATTCTTTCTTTCTTCTTTTCTTCAGTGCTTCTTCCTTTCTCAGTTTATTCTTTCATCATTTCTTTCTTTTCTTCGTTCTTGTTTCTTCTTTCTTTCAGCCCTTCTTCCTTTCTTATTTCTTTCTCCATTCTTTCATTTTTTATTTCTTTCTTTCATTCTTTGTTGCCTCTTTCGTTCAGTCTTTCCTTTCTTAGTTCATTCCTTCATACTTATGTTTTTTCCTTCGTTCTTTCTTTCAGTCCTTCATTTCTTAGTTCCTTCTCCATTCCTTTACCCTTTCTTTCCGCCATTCTTCTTTCTAATGCCCTTCATCCTTTCTTTCTTATTTCCTTCATTCATTCCCTTCTTTCTCCTATATTGTTTGCATCTGATTTCCTTTGTTCATTCCCTCTTTCTTTCCTTCATTATTTCATCTCCATCATTTTGTACCAATTTCCCCATTATTAATGTTCTTTATAGCACCTCGTGTGTATTGAAATGTATAGGAATAAAAAAGGGCATGAAAAACAGATATTTTAGGGGCTCTCTACACAAAAAGGGCACAGGTAGAATGGTTAGGGTTGGGTAAAGGAATGGAAGTTCTACTTGGGTGGTGAGAGGAAGTGGGTGGGATGATCGCCAAAATTACAAATCTGTGGCCTTAGGCGAGTCGTGACAAACTGAACAATAGCAACGCACGTCCCCCTTTAAGTCTTATTCCTTCATGCTACCATTTCTCGCTTTTCCTTTTGCTCTCGCTATTCTCATTCTTTCCTTTCTTTCTTCGTTTTAGCTTTTTTTTTTCTTCTTCTTCTTCTGTTCTCCATTCCTGATCACTTTATTAGAATCCCTTTTTGAATCATTGCGTTTAATGCCGTACCTTTTCTTTCTTTCTTTCTTTCTTTCTTTCTTTCTTTCAGTTTTTCTTTCGTTCTTTCTTTCTTTCGGTTTTTCTTTCTTCTCTTCATTTCATCTCTTCTTTTCTTTTCTTCCTTCTCTTCTTTTCTTTCTTTTCTCTTTCTTGTCTTTCTTTCTTTCTTTCTTTTTTCTTCCTTTCTTTCTTGTCTTTCTTTCTTTCTTTCTTTCTTCTCTGTCTGTCTGTCTTTCTTTCTTTCTTTCTTTCAGTTTTTCTTTCGTTCTTTCTTTCTTTCGGTTTTTCTTTCTTCTCTTCCTTTCATCTCTTCTTTTCTTTTCTTTTCTTTTCTTCCTTCTCTTCTTTTCTTTCTTTTCTCTTTCTTGTCTTTCTTTCTTTCTTTTTTCTTTCTTTCTTTCTTTCTTTCTTTCTTTCTTGTCTTTCTTTCTATCTTTCTTTCTTTCTTTCTTTCTTTCTTTTCTGTCTTTCTTTCTTTCTTTCTTTCTTCTTTGTCTTTCTTGTCTTTCTTCTCTTCTTTTCTTTCTTTTCTCTTTCTTGTCTTTCTTTCTTTCTTTCGGTCTGTCTTTCTTTCGGTCTTTCTTTATTACTATTTGTTTCTTCTTCGTTTTTTTTTTTTTTGCTTGCTTTCCTTTTTAATTTTTCTTCGTTTCTGTCTTTCGTTTTCTTTCTTCTTTTTTGTTTAGCTTTTCTTTATTCGAATTCCATTTTGTATCACTGCGTTTAATGCCTTACCATTCTTTCTTCTGCTTCTTTCTTTCTTTCTTTCTTTCTTTCTTTCTTTCTTTGCTTATTTTTTCTGTTTGTTTTTTCGTACCTTATTTTAACTTTTTTCCCTTTTAATCCTTATTCCTTTCTTTATTTCTTCTTTTTCTTCTTCTTTTCTCTTTTCCTTTTCTTTATACCTTTTTCTATAATTGTGTATAATAATTTATTTCCAGTCTTCTTTAACTTTCTTTCTTTTATTTCTTTCTCTCTTTATTTCTTTCTCTCTTTATTTTTTTTCTACTTTTGATTTTTCTTCATATTATTTATCATTGCTTTCTTCTCTCTCTCCTCTGTCTTATTCTTCTACTATTTCGGATTTTTTTTTGCTTGTTATTTTTTATATTCTATTTTATATTTTTTCTGTTTCTTTCTTTCTTCTTTACCTACACTTTTTTTCTTTCTTTTCTTGTGTTTTTTTTTTTTATATTTCCTTCAAGTTTTCCCTAGTTTTTATTTCAGTTCTTTTTCTCGACTTTCTCTTTTCGTTTCCTTTTTTTCATTTCTCTCTTTATTTCTTTCATTTTTTTCTTTCTTTTTTCTATCTTTCTTTCTTTGTTTCTTTTGTTCATTCATTCATTCTTCCTTTCTTTCATTCATTCTTTCTCTTTTGCTTTCCCTCTTTCTCTCTCTTATACATTCTTTCTTTCCTTTTTCTTTCTTTCTTTCATCCTTTCATATTTCGTACATTCTTTCTTTCTCTTGTTCTTTCTTTCTTTCATTCTTTCTCGCTTTCGTCCATTTTTTTCTTTCTCTTGTTTGTTCATTCATTCATTAATTCATTCTTTCTTTCTCTTGTTCTTTGTTTCTTTCTTTCTCTCTTTCGTTCTTTTTCTTTTTCGTTCTTTCTTTCTTTTCCCTTTTCCTTCGTTTGATCCTTTCTCTCCTAATCTTAATTGTTCTTTTTTTTCGTCATCTTTTCTTTCGATTTCATCTTCCCCATTCTATTACCGCAGATTTCGTTTCACAGGTGAATTTCTTTTCACCCCCGTCTCATTTTAGTGTCATCAATAATTCCTTCTTTTCCTCGTATTTTTATCAGTTCATCACTTTTTTTTCGACTCTCTTTTTTTTTGCGTCGTTCTTTTCATTGCTTAACTATTCTCTACTCGTTCGTTTTCTTTTCCAATTTAGTTTCTTGTCTATTTTTCTTCCAATTTTTCAAAAAAATATTTCCTCTATTTTATTGCGCCAATTACATCGCTTTTTTTTTCTTTCTGCTCTAGATTTCTCTTTCCTTTTTCCTATTTATTTTAGGAATTGTCACCCATTTTTCGTTCGTTCTCTCTCTTTCTCCTAGCTTGTGTTTTCTTGAAACGAAACCGCCCATATGTCGTTGTTGTTTTTATTATTATTGTTATTATTATTATTATTATTATTATTCAGTGTCATGATTTTTCGTTAAGGTGTTTTGAAGTGAGTCGTGTGCTTCCTGTGTTGAACTTACTTTATTTTGGGTGGGAAGACATTCCTTCGTGTTTTGCATCGGGAGAAACGGTTCAAAAGTACAGGAATGAGGCAAGGTTGGAAAATTTGCAGGATTTAAAAGCAATGGAATCGAGGCTGGAGGGAAAAGTAGGAGAAAAGGAAAACAAGAAAAGAGAAGAAGTAGGAGGAGAGGAATGGAAGATAATGCAAAAAAGAAAGAAAGAAAGAAAGGTTGGATATTTTGAAAAGAAACATAAAAAGAAGGAAGAATTGAAATTTTAGAAAGAAAAATAAACAAAGAAAGAAACGAAGTGATCGGCGAAAGGAAGTGGGGAAGTGAGGGCGAAACGAGAGAGAAGACGGAAAGATAAAAAGCAAGGAATAAAGCAAAGAGAGAATGAAGGATCAAACGAAGGAAAAGGGAAAAGAAAGAAAGAACGAAAAAGAACGAAAGAGAGAAAGAAAGAAACAAAGAACAAGAGAAAGAAAGAATGAACGAAAAAGTGAATGAATGAACAAACAAGAGAAAGAAAAAATGGACGAAAGCGAGAAAGAATGAAAGAAAGAAAGAAGAAGAGAAAGAAAGAATGTACGAAATATGAAAGATGAAAGAAAGAAAGAAAAAGGAAAGAAAGTATGTATAAGAGACAGAAAGAGGGAAAGTAAAAGAGAAAGAATGAATGAAAGAAAGGAAGAATGAATGAATGAACAAAAGAAACAAAGAAAGAAAGATAGAAAAAAGAAAGAAAGAAATGAAAGAAATAAAGAGAGAAATGAAAAAAGGAAACGAAAAGAGAAAGGCGAGAAAAGAACCGAAATAAAAACTCGGAAAAACTTGAAGGAAATATAAAAAAAAAAAAACTAGAAAAGAAAGAAAAAAGTGTAGGTAACGAAAAGAAAATTTAGATTTTTAAAAAGCTGACTATACAGGAGACGTAGAAAGATAAGACTGATGTTTAAAATCATTCTGTTGAAGAAAAGCCGAACATTGAAAAGAATGAAGATCGCCACAAGAAGAATTTGTACTCTACAGAAAGGACACGTCAACTTTTATCGATGTACTTACGTGCATCAATTCATATTAGCCAATATATATCATTCTAAAATTCTCACAATTTAACTATTTTAGACTCCCGCCCAGTCTAATTTTCCGATGCTAGCCTTCAGGAAAGTCACTCATTGCATCTTTGCACGCTAATGTTTTTCTCTGACATGAAGTGGAAAGATTATATTGAATCAGTTTCTAAGTTTGTTGTCAGAAATTCTGGTTCACTGTGTCGTACGAGACAATTTTTCACGCCAGAATCTGTCTTATATATTTAGAAATCTACCCTACATCCTTGCTTTGAGTAATTCTGTCAAATCTGGTCTGGTGCTTCTGCTCTATATTCAGAGATATTTGATCAAATCCAAAAACTGATCTGCAATATTAATAGTCCTGACCCAGCATCTCAACTTCAGTCCCTTATCCCACCGCCGTAACGTAGCTTCCCTCTGCCTTTTCTATAAATACTCTCATTGGAATTGTGCTGATGGAATTTCCTCTATCGTATCTTGACTTTATGAATTTAAGCGCAGTACTAGATTGGGGTCATTGTCCCGTTGTTTTACACTTGAACTGGCTAGAGGTGAACCGTAAGTTCTATGTTAGCATTTTCTTCTCTGGCATTTCTCGCTTACTGAACTGTCTTCCAGTTCCTTCAATTTTGATCTTCAAGAAATAAATGCAACGCCAATCGTTATCTTCTCTCCTCTTAGTTCTTCTTCTTTTATTGTTCTTTCTCCTTGATTGTTTTTACTCGTATTCTCTCACCCTTTAGTAACCGGTTTGCGTCTTAGTGGCTTTATCGTCTTGCTTGTGATGAAATGATTAAAAAATGTGCATGTCAGGAAATATTACATTTGTAAATGTATGAATTCAAATACACAAATATATTGTACCTGTTGACAAACTAATATTGCAATGTTAATGCACTTAATTCAGTGTTAAATATTAATCATCTGAATGTAGCATTATACAATGAAAACAACATATCAGAATTCAGCATCGAACTGCTCTTTTGCTTAGGATTAAAAAAAGGATTATATCTGTGTGTGTTCATATGTTTGCTTCATATTAATCTCCCTGGGAATGTTTAATTCGTTGGTTTGTATTTTTACGGTTTATCACCCTTTTGCGGGTTATTTAATACCAGAAAATAATTTTAGATTGTATGAATATTTTGGAGATAATAATCATTTACTGACAAAATTCATACCAGTTAATCCGTAATTTGCGGGAGAGTAAGTGGAGTCTTACTTTTCCCAACGGTATGTGCGCGTAATTAAATATGAATCTGGCTTGAATTGGAACTCGGCTCTCCGATTTCCACTTCTGAGCCACTAGCGATTGCACCACCCGCACTTTTAAGGTTACAACACGTGATATTTCCAAGCGGTCATCAACCTAATTACTGACGTTGTACGAGGACCGGTGTTTTTAACGTGATCTGGCTGTAAGCCTGAGAATTTTAGCACAAAGTTTCATTTGACGAATAGTGAATAAAAAATCATAAAAAATTCGCCATGAAAAAATATCAAAGAAACCAGCTGCAGAGAAAAGTTATTCACTGTGCGTTAGACGGCATTTCTTCTTGCAGCGAGTCGGGAAAAGAATGTGCCTCAGTTGGTGGACTAAAACAACATATAAAAGTTAACCAATATATCATTGTAGCACCTACATCATTGTGTAAATTAATTGAAACAACCGTTTTAGTTTCCTTTCTTTCATCATACGGTATGTTTTAGATCCACTGGAGTGACAGGATGTATTCGATTTCTATTTTTCCCTCAGATTATGTCATTTCCAGTGGTGCGCAGTAATATGAATATATTTTCGGGGTGTATGATGAAATTTGTTTGACCTTGAAAAATATTGAGTCATCCGTGACTGCATCAGATTTTTATCACGCACAGACACTATTGTCTCGACTATCGATTAGTTGTCCTACGGCCATTTTCTGCGATGGACATTACTTCAAGGAGGCGTAGGAAAATTGTAACGTGGCACGAACAAACTGGCAAGCATTCACCACTGAGCAAATCAAAGTACTATAGACTGACCCGGAAACTCTTCCGATTTAAATCCAATCCAGAATCTGTGATTAATCTGCAAGGAGCGACTTCGTGGAGTGGACATAGTAAGCACTAACATGTTTACTGAATCAAGCTTCATTTGAAAATTATGGAAAAAAAAATTAAATAATAACGAATTATTCGTTTTGTTTCAGTTAATTCCCACAAGGGTGTACGACCAGGGGTACACTACATTTCCGTATTAATACAAGTAAGTGTGCGCCGCGATTAGTAATAAAACCCCACATTCACGCTGCCCTATATTCTGTTCAGTCAAGCAAGGTCATTATAAG